ATGCTTAACAACCATAAACCAACTCTAAGAAATGATAGGCGCCAGTCCAAGGCAGCGAGCTCCTCTCAATTACCCATGACATCCGCCCTGTCACCGGGTTGGTAAAAAAAGAATCATGAGTTAAACACCGACATCCCAGAATAGTAACTGAAACAAAAAATGTTCGGTTAAAACTGAAACATAAAGAAAAAGAGACAACTGTTTTTGTAATAAAGATCTAGAAAACACGACAAGATTGGTTATGAGTGACCTGATTTGTAACAATGAGGTGTTAACATTAGATTGCCTTCTGAATTCAAAAGTCAAAGTTGTCGAATAAACCAAAATCTTACCAATTAAAATAGTTAAACACCGTAACATCGCTAGCTTTAAGTCGATAAGTTTGATAATGTAGTTTACTCCGCAAATAAAGAATAATTTTTAATAAACTGAAGCTGAACACAGTTAGTTACGCGAAGTAGAGGTGCGCTTCTTTATCGTCAAATATACCTATTTACATGACTAAAAAAAAAAGATTGAAGTTTAGAAAAAAAGTTCAAAGTAAAATAACGAATATGACGCGCGACCAGTAGTCAGTGTTAGTTCCTGTTCCGGAATACCTTGGCATCGCCTCTGATTCATTCATTTGTTCAAAAGTATGAAGATGATTAAGGTACCAAACACAACCAAATTAGCTGTATAGACTTGGGGAACTGGTAACTTTGATGCCACTGATTCCTGATTGAAAAAAAAAAAAAACATGCTCACGTTTACCGATCAAAGTTTGAAATTTTAATCAAGTTCAGCAGTCATAACAAAACAGTCTAAAATACATGTTGTATAATTATTTCTTCTCGCCTTATCTTCTTCGCACTGGAACGGTTTGCACGAAATAAAACAAGTTTTAATAGTTGAATGAGTCGGCAAAAGGAACATCTATCAAACACAAACAACGCAGTTTTGTAACTGAAACAAAATTCACAATCAATCTTTTTACTTTTCAAATTTTGTACTTTTACTGTTGGCAAAAACAGCTCTCTAAAGTGTTTCTGAAAATGAAACAATGTTACAGTGTAAAGCAACCTTTAAAAAAAAAAGCTGTTGGAAGTATTTAAGTTTAAAACTATTTCCTCGTAACCGTCAATTAATCAAGAAAAAAAACAAAACTGCTCGATGATAAAATTGTACAGGAAGTATGCTTTTTCTTAAAGCCTCATCACTTTATTTAATGACCGCTTCAAAGGATCCACCAGCACTTCAAAAACAATTAGCAACCAAAAAGATGTCCTTAAGATACTAAACAAAAATTAATATACAAATGTGATTAAAGTGACTAAATTTCTCTTGTTTTCCCTGTACATTTCAGATCATCTAAAATGTAGCACAATAAAATTTTGCTAATAATAAGCACCTGGTTAACACTGATACGCAAAACTATCTTCAACGAATCCTAACCAGTAGTAATGAATGAATGAAGTAAACTCAATATTAATGACTACCCAAGAAAATAATTCTATATTATAAAATCAAAAAAATTTCTAATTTAGCTTCTGCAAGTGCTAAAATGTTGATTATTTAGGATGACAAACAAAAATTAATTCAATGCAGTATAAAACAACAACAAACAATCTTTAAAAACGTTGTAAAATTGTTTAAATCTAAATTAAATTTTAAAAAAAAAAGACACTGTAAAATACCTGTCTGAACTACCTACCTATCCTTATAAAAAAAAATTTTTTTTTCAATTTCTATAAACAGTCACGGCTGTTTTAACAGATTAGAAACTAAAAATGATACAGTTAGTTAGCTGTCTTAATTTTAATATAATACTAATCAGTATCAAAATACGTACCTGGATAGCATACATCTCATAACCAGCAACAGCAATTATTGACTTCAACAGCTAACTGTCCAAACGATTATATCAAATCCAAAATTTTTCTTATTTTTTTCATAAATTTGGGTACACAAGAGAATTTTAAGCATAAATTACAATAATATAATTATCTGATATTATTATCTTGGATCATTTTTCAGAAGAATAAATGACCACAGAACGAAACAAAAAAACAGAAAGAAAAAATAGAAAAAATTTTGCTAACAATCTTCCTGTTAATAGAATCAGCACAGAAAAAAAAAGAAAAATTTAGAGATAAATTCAAACATCTTTGGTTTTTTTTCAATACTCCTTATATAAAGAAGATTTACTACAGTAAAACCAACTAATCATCCCAAAACTGAAGCCGAACAAACTAAATAATATAAGTTTTGAAAAACAAATTTTGTGGCCAAATTGTTCTCTGAAACAGCGCAGATACACAGCTGTCACTTAGGAAATGGGGAGAAAAATTCAAGATCAAATCGCTGTTGATCCCCCACGTTTTTTAGCAACATCCTAAACAACAAAGAAAATTAATTTGATGCGACCAAATGTTCGAAGTAGCAACTTTTTTAAAAAGACAGCCGATACCTGTCAAAGAATAATTGCTGCTGAAATAAGCTCCATAATCAATCGCCGCCTATACTTTGCAAACAGCAAAATATAAGCCTCTTTAGACTGTCTCCTTGACGATAAACATCTCCCAGTTCCCCACATCAATGTTTTGAGAAAATCTCTTGGAAAAAAGTTTCAAAAATTAGAAGCAAAAGATTTACATGGTCACCATCATAAAGAACTAGCTAACTCACGCTAATTCAAATTGATTCACCATAGATCTTAACTGTTATAAGAACTGCTCTAACATAGCAGAAATTGATGAAAAACATATTATTGGCAAGGCTACCGCTGCCAAAGGTTCCATAGCAATACAACAGGGCAAAATGTAGAGGGTAAAATTAAAAGAGTTCTGGTCAGTGAAGATTAGCTAAGCAGCCCACAGATGCTCAAAAAAGTCTGGAATATTGTCACATCTTTATGGTTTTGTAACGAGTGCTTTTGATACCCAAATGGTCGTATACAACAACAAACTTGAAAACGGCCAAAATCTCAACACTGAGAAATGGGCTGTCTTTAGTTATTTAAGCTGCGTATGCAATAAACATAGGTTCCTTCAAATTATATCAGTTGATACCGAAAAAACCAAGACTGCTTTCCAAGATTGTGTTTTAAAAAAAAACGTCAGCTTAATATAATTTCTGGCATCAGAGGCTGTTCCGTAAAATGCACCTTAAAAACTCTGCATGAATTGATGTTGTCGTGTAAATAATGTCAGTGGACAAAAAAGTCCAAATAGTTATTCAAATAGTCAAGTAGAATTATTGATAATTGAAAAAAATCAAATGCTTGAGTCAAAAGTTTTGCTTACCAAACAGCTCACAGATTACCCAGGTTAGAAAGAATAGATTATAGATTATGAAAAATAGAATATCAAAAATTGACTGAAGAATCAATTGTAAAATGAGTTATATAAAAATAGTATCTTTAGTAATTCTCTGCCGGAAGTCAGAAGACCTTGACCGGTTTCATAAAGAATCTCACAACCCGTAAAACCGTTAATGCCAATAAAATTTTTTACTGAGAAGGGAAACTGAGAAGCGAAACTTTACCGGCTTGACAAAACGAACTTTAAACTACTGATATTGAATAAACAAATCAACTATTTAGATTGACTGAACTCTATATGGCATTGTCAGAAGAACCGCAGTCAGCAAAAAACTTAGCGTTATTTAACACAACACTATACTGTTTAATTCAAAAGCATTTACTTGGCTTTAACAAAGTATAAAAAAGGCATTAGCTAGCTTTATTATTTAGACGTCTGTGAAGTTTCACGGATGCACTATTAAATTATACCATTATAACAACGTTATAGAAAACAAACTAACAATTCTTGACTTCTAACACTCTAAAACTTAAACATACAAATTTGAGGAGCCAATAATCTTCAAACACATTATTCTCAAATGAAAACGTTTCTACACAAACACCCACCCATAATTTTCAGGCAAACTGTAACAACATTGAAAGTTTTTTTAAGGAATAATGCTAAACAGTTGACAGGTCAAAAAACTGAAAAAAAACAAAACTGCTCAATACAGTGACTTTCAGAAAGTTGTTAAACCAGGTAAAGAAACGACCAGAATTAATGGTAACTGATACAGATGACGAACAAGAAAAGCAAGAAGTCAGGAGAAACGTCAACAGCAGCACTTGCGATTGAGAATTAACTTTTCTAAAACCTTAAAACAAGTTTGAATGTTTGTTTTTGTTGGTGGAATATTCTTATTACCCATGTGCTTAACTGTTTCAGATTGAAAATCAAATATACCAAGGCAATTTCACAAAAAAAAGAAAAAACTTAAATCAATTTTAGTGCCTGCTCACATATTACAGGAAAGTCACAGGCCAAGTTATAATGCCCAATTTGAACACGACAAAAGTTCGTAAAAATATATAAATTTAAATATTTGATACTATTCTGTTGTTAGAACCAGTTACCGGTAAGAATATCATTTGGAACAAGCTTCAAGTTCTGAATTTTTAAATTCTCATGCTTAAATTACCCGTGCGCTACAGCACTCTCTCGTTACCACATAGTTTTTCGGTTTAAGTTAAGAAGTTATCGATGAGAATAAAGTTCTATCTAAAAAAAACTCTTCATTTTATTTTCCATAGTGAATCAATTTTAAAACCAAAAAAAGCTGCAGAAAAAAAAATTTTTTCACATTCTTCCAAACCGCCCAGTATTTGTTAAATATTTATAGTGAATAATTAAAAAAAAAATTTTTCATTTTTAACAAATCTTTTCCACAATTTTTCACACTACGTGACTGTAACACTTCCGAAGGTCCGAAATAACCTGTAAAATAACTACTAAAATCCTTTGTCGCTGATACCATCACAATTAAATTAAGCAAGGGTCATAAATTGGGTATTATGAATTTCAAACCAGAATGCTGAGAGAAAATAACGATTGATGAACAGACCCATTCTGAGGACACGAGTACACAAGACGTATAACAGAATACGAAAAATTTTTGCGAGGAGCGAAAAAAATTTATTTGAGAAGAGACGAAAGGGGAAGAATATTGCGGCAAACACATCACTCAAGGACGAAGCTTGACTACGTTGTGTTAGTTTTTAAAAAGGCAAAGAAAAAAAAA